GAAGATGACATCAGTTCTCCCAAAAATCTTACAGGCGAAAATGACGGGCATGTCCCTAACGTAAGCCTGCCAAGCGTAGGCAAGGCTAAGCCTGTGCTGAACCGTAACAATAGGGACTAAATAGTAAATACCCAGTTTGGGAGAAATGGACCACAGCAACTTGTTTCACACTGGTTGAGTTTTTCTACTAGGGGATAGGGGATAGGGCCCAGGGAATAATGGGATCCAAATTCCGAGATCCATCAAGCTTTCACACAGTTGGGCCCTACCTTCTGGGGCCCAGCAATTTGTTTAACACGGTCGTCGGTGAGATCCAGAGTCCAGACTCGTCTAGCTTTCACATAGTTGGGGGCCCTACAGGGTACGTCCCAGCAAGGCAACAACTTCTTTCGTGAATTCAAATCAGCCCCCACGATGTCTCACAGCACATTTCCGCGGTATATTAAGAACATTTTGCCAAGACGATATCATCATTTTTTGTATATCATCGAGAGATATTCCTAATATAAGGCGGGGATGTACTCTAGGACCTTATTAGGGAGCAATTTTGTGGGGGAGGGGATTGATTTGATGTCTTCTTTCTTACGGTTGAGATTAAGACCCGTCCAGTTTTCCGGTAACCTTAGTCTCAGACCTCACATTTAAGTACCCATTGGACACGTTACTTTTTGCTTTAGGTATTGCAAGGTGGGGCTCACCTAGACTTGGCATCTAGTAAGAATGTTTGGTGAAAAAAATGCAAAAAGCCTAAACGGACTATTTTTATGTTATTTTTTGAGTCACTTTTAAACATGGTTTTTAAAATCGAATCAGATCGGATGGTCGGACTGGGAAAACCGAAATCCGGTCAAGTGATCAGTTTCATTTTACCCCAGAATCGTTATTTTGTCAAAAACCATTGATTCGATAAGTAAATCGCTGATTCAGGCAGTTGAATCAATCGAACCATTCAGTGGTTATGGCCGTTTTTTATTTTTTTATTTTTTATCAGAATGGGTCATCTACTCAACTCAAATGATCGGACTGTTCAACCCAGGAACTGGACCCTAACCGGTTCGTTGTCCGGTTTTCTTTTAAAAAATACTTGCTTTTAAGTCATTCCAAAGGATCCCGTGTGACTATATTGAAGTCATATTTTGGAGCTTAACGATAATGAGTTTGGGCTCTCTCTCTCTCTCTGTTTTTCACCAAACACAAACACTCACAGGCATTCCGTGTAAGCCGGATTTCAGAAAGCAGCTGATCAGCCATTTTATTTGAAATCAACACTGAATAAAATTCCGATCCTTAATTTGTCTCGTTGTAGTAAACACCTGGGTTCAAATCTCGCTTCACCAGGGTTTGGGGCTCGGGGGTTAAGCGGATGGGGAAAGCGACCCCGTTGTGTAGGGTTTTGCATTCGCCCCAAAAAAGTCCCATGCGCTGTGAGCGCGTCGCGTGTCCACACACACGCGAATTAGAGGGATTCGTGCGTTAGCTCCCTCTTGCCCAACTCTGCTCTTAGAACTCTGCTCCAATCACATGTGTGTCCCCCCACAACTCCGCTCTCAGAAAACCCGCCGGAGATTGCCCCCTTTGAATTCTGCTGGAGCACGAGATTCGCCCCTTGCTGCATATTACGTTGCGATTCTCTTCTAGTACAAGAAAACAAAACGTTCACAATAGACATTTTTGATTCTCGGAGAAAGAATAAAAGCTTTTCCTTTCCTCTTCCTCTCTACTGGGAGATTTGAAGGACAACCTCAACTCAACCCCTTTTTGTTTCAAACCTCAAAAAATGAAGAGAGCTTGCTATTGGAAACTGAACAACAGTAACCCTCTGTCTCTCGCTTATCTGATCTGGGCTATACCTCGTTCTTTCTATACTTGAAGAAAGACACCTCCAGATATCAGAGCTAAAGTGCGAAACCAAAGACTGAACCGTAATCAACTGCCAAGGATAAGATACAAAGCACCCACCCTATAAATTGCCATGATTGAAATGAAAAAATATATAAAAAAGAGAAGAAAAGAAAATCTGTGTAGGCTCACAAACCACTCAGTTAGTCTTACTGATGCGTCAGCGTCGCCTTCGGGAGGAGGCATTAGAGAGGACATCTTCTTCATCGTTTCTCACTGTTAAAAATGCTTCGGCGAAAAGGTAGAAAATGAAAAGAAACTTATTTGAAAAGAGAGGGATATTTATCTCCGATAAATAAAGCTTCCAGAACGGTCTTCGGTGTTGATCAGCGGAACTCAAAGGGGGGCAATCTCCGGCGGATTTCAGTTCTAAGAGCAGAAGGTCGAGGGTTGAAGTGAGCCGAATTTCGAGAAAAAGGAGAAAGAAAATCTTTTGGGCGAGAGGGAGCTAACGGCCGTCCTGTGGGACGTGTGGGGAGGATACGCACGAATCCCTCTAATCCGCGTGTGATAGGACACGCGGAGGGCTCACAGCCCATGGGACGTTTTTGGGGAATGGGGGACACAGATGCGAACCCGTTGTGTAGCCCCATGAAGCATATAATAAAGGATTCATTACTTATATAATAATCCTATATATAATATTTGATAAACCATTTATATATATCCTAAGCTTTCAGAATCACCAAGGTGGCTTGGTGGTGTATTAGCTAGCTGGTTTGTTCCAACAGTGATGATGTAGAATCTAATACCAAAAAAAAGCTTTCAAAACCAAATTAAACGTGCCTTATTTATTTTACTTTATTTTTTTGATAAAGCCAAGAAAGGGGCGTATCCAGAAATCTAAATAGTTAATCATATTTAAGAGTCTAGGAACAAAGGAATTAGATACATTTTTCGGAAAAGTACGGACAGGCCTAATGCAAATTTTTTATTCCCACTGCAAAGGTAATAAGGTCCAAAATATTACACAAGGTTCTTCAAAGAGTCGATAACAAGTATGGAGTCGCCCTCAATAGTAATATTCTTGTTTGGGAAGTTTAAAGCCCATATTAAGGGCTTCCCATGCAGCCCGGGCTTCAGCCACATTGATAGTGGTTTCGCCAACCCTATATGCTTTATGGTCCAAAATTTGGCCTAAGAAATTTCTAGCCACACCTGCAATGGTGTACTTACCATTTATGAAGGAGGCGTCGAAATTAATTTTGATAGAGTCCATTTCAGGACTAATCCACCAAACCGGGATAGTGCTTTTCCCTTCACAAACATTATCATTATCTTCCATATACTTTCAAGTTTCATCAAAGGCATGCCGAGCCCTCTCTATAACAATAGGAGGGGGGTTAATCTTATTTTTAAACACACTCTCATTTAGATTTTTCCATAAGTGTCACAATAAGAAGGTAACATTTTCTTTTTTTGAAAGAAATCCTTACAATCTTACCTATGCTATTTTTCCACAAGAACTCTCTCTACTTCTTATCTAGCTCCTCAAGGGCATTTATTTTGAGATTTTGAAGGGCCTCATTATATACTGGGGATCATATTGGTTGATGCTTTTAAGAGAGTGACTTTCCCAACAAGGGATAAGGAGTTTTGCTTCCAACCCGCCAATTTATTTGTGATATTTTCACTAAGAAATTTAAAAGTATCCTTGCAATGCCTATTATTAAAGACTAGAGCTCCCAAAATACAAATCTTTCTTGGTATTCAGAAGAATTTTAAGCATTCTAGATAGAATTTTCTGAATTCTATAGTGAATATTCTTGGAAAACATAATGCATGATTTAGCAAAATTAGGGGCTTTCCTTGAGGCTCTGGCAAAATTATCAAGAATATTTTTAATTTCTAGGCAGGCATGGATATTTGCCTTCACAAACATGTCTTATTGACTTT